GCCCCAGCTGCAGGCAGGATGGCAGGGGTGGAACCCTGCCAGCCCTTCTGGGAGGAGAGAGGGGTCAGGACAAGGCGGTCTGAGCAGGAGTGTGTGAGCACCAGGCTGGCCCAGGGCTGCTGGCTCTGGGGAGGGTCTGGCTGCAGAGGTGCATGTGAGATGTACAGCCCCTGCAAGAAACACCCTGTGCCAGGGCAGGCTGCAGCAACAGCAGCTTGTCCAGCCCATCTGCTGAACGCCCTGCAGGCTGGCTGAACTCTGAGAGGGGTGTCTGTAGCTACCCAAGCTAAAATACACGTTACAGCCTAACAACAACTTTTCTGTTCCTAAATAAATACCAGTTTACAGAAGACCCAAGTCAACTAAAATCAGCTGTCTTTCATCCATGATTTTCAGGCTTAAAAGACAGTATCACATAAAAAAATGGTGTCATTAAAAAAAAAAAAAACAAAAAAACAAAAAAACAAAAAAAACCAAAAAAACCAAAACAAAACAAAACAAAAAACCCACTACAATGAAGTGAGGGTAGCACAAGTATTTCAGTAAGGTGCAGAAAACTAGAAAACTCGGGTTTGCACAATGCCATCTAAATATTTCCTTGCATCTTTGAACTGCTGCTATCTTTGTCTTGAAAAGGGCAATATCAGTAATCTCTACTGATTTATGGTGACTGACAGAGGCCCATCACCTGCTGTGGTTTCCTAGGATGGAGAGGATAAGCTACCTGGTTATCATGGCCCAGCACTAACAATGAACAGTTAACATTCAGGGGATTGCTCACTGCTCAGATAAGCAGCACTGAGCTTCTTGCCTTTAAAGACAGGGATTTTTTCCCCAACTGAATACAAACAGATGGTTTTCTGCTGTAAAAAAAATGTATTTTGTCAGAAAAATGAGGAAGAAGGTATATTATTTCTGCCAAACCACGCATAAAAGTATAATTTTTCTGGGGTTTAACTACAACATTCATTCCATATAAATCAAACTAATTGGGAGAATCAGGATTACACATATCAGTAACAGGCTTCCTGCTTTCTTGTTAGGTAAATAGAGATGCTTTGAATTTTTGGTTGTTATTTAAAACAAAGAAAAACTCATTACCTTATGTATTCTTTTGGATTAAAAAAAAGGACAAAACCAAAACTATTTGAGTTCAACAAATATTTTCATAAATAAAAATTTGTGTTTAAAACTAAAATTCTTCCCTTTTACCATCTGATATTTTTTTCTTGCTTGCACCTATTGTTGCCATGAAGCAGAATTGCACACCTGTGATTTTTCATATTTAAACATATTCTAAAAGGCAATATTTGGAAATATTACAAGAAAAATGCCTCTTGTAGACAGAGGTGAGGAATCTGAATTGTTTACCTGGTGTAAGTATTAGCAAGTTTCTATACTTCTTGGTCCTTTGTGGTGATTTTTCAAACCTAGAATAAATAGTTTTGGCGCCAAATTGCGCGGAAAAATCCAAAACTAAAGCAAGAACAGCTGAAAGCTGTGATTTACTTGGCATCTTCATCTCCCACCAGGTTCAGAAAGGGAATTCAGGAATTTTTAAAAAAAAATAAATTCCTAATGAAGAACAATGTTTTATCTAACTATTTAATTTCTTCTGAGCAAGCATGGACACAATTCACTATAAGCATGAACATAACTCAATATAGAATCAAAAAATGGTTTGGTTTGGAAGGAACCATAGAGAGCATCTAGTTCCAACCCCCCTCTCATTGGCCCAGACACCTTCCACTAGACCAGGTTGCTCAGAGCCCCACTCAGCCTGGCCTTGAATACTTCCAGGAATGGGGAATTCACTTCTCTGGACATCCTCTTCCAGTGCCCCACCACCAAATAATTTCTTCTGTATGTCTAAACCTAAATTTCCCCTCTTTCAGTCTGAACCCATTGCTCCCTGTCCTATCTTACTGTTCCTGATGAAGAGTGCCTCTCTAGCTTCAGACCCCCTTCAGATACTGGATCTACCCCTGTTTAACATTAGTTTTGCATTTCACACTGGTTCAGCAAATGGCAGTCATGTACTTTTTTAGTGCCTCTCTGCCTGGTAGCACTTGTGACCCAGGAGGGAGGCAGAGCTGCACTGTGGGAACAGCAATGGTGCCCTGCTTTGCCCCACACACATCCTGAGCCACAGTCCCACCCTGCAGATGCTGAAATGACACAACTGCCATGTGTCACACAGCACAGGGCAGACTGAACCCAAAGGGCTGCCTGGTTCAAAGGGAATTTCACCTTTCCACTTTTAGACGTGGACCCAGTGTGGAAAATTCCTCAATCTCCCAAGAGCCAGGCATTTCAGGGACATTGAAACATAGCATTCCTTAAAAAACATGGCCTGAGTCACTACTGCAATGCTTCCAGTGCTGATGGAGAGAGCTGAAGGCAGGGTGGAGAGGCCCCCCAGGGTCACAGCCAGGGACTGCAAAGCCTCCCAGGACTGGGCAGTACCTGAGTGCACAGTGCTGGAATTGCCTGCCAGGATTTTATCTTGGGCACAGGTTTTATCTTTGGCACTTTGAAAATTTACCAAACAAACAAAACGCTGCAGACAACACTCCAGGTTCAAAGAATCAGCACTGCAGCTGTGCCAGCAAACACTGGGAGAGCCCTAGATAAGGGATCAGGCTGCTGCAACAGTGTAAAGTACATCGTGTTTTTGAAACCAAGGTAATGAGACAAGGAGTGAGAAACACACATAAAAAATTGCAGCTACAAATATTTCAGTTACATGCTGGGATATTTCAGAAAACTTTCTTGAATCTTCCTTCCTTCCCTGATCTCACCTGCTGCACTGATACTTTTCATTATTTTAATATGAGGATGAAATAGAAACAATTCCAACATCAGGTTTGCTCTTTCAATGGTATTAAAAAATGAGTGCAAGTTTGTGAAATATGTTTTAAAATACTTTTTGCAAGGAACTCTTTTCAATGTATTTTTTTTCACAGACCCATCGAATTGACTTAAAGATATTGAACAGGGAGCCAGGGATCTGAATAAAATTAAGAATGTTAATGAAAATTGCCATCTCATTTGAAAAGACTTGATCTAACTTTCTAAATATCAAAATAACTTGTATGTATCTTAGATTCTGATGAAAAGATTGCATTTTGCATGAACCTTCCCCTAAATTTAAGCCTATCAAATGCAAAAACAAAGCTAAAAGGAATCATAGAATCCCAGAATCATTAAGGTTCGAAAAACCTCTAAGGTCATTGAATTCAACCAGCAGTGCGAAGTCCATCAGTAAACAGGACTGAGCAACTTCAGTAGGAGTGAGGCTGTGACACATGTGGACAACCTGCAGCTGCATTTCTGGAAAGCACTTTTCAGACCGCAGCCATAACCATTTCCTGTTCTTGAAAGAGTCACTAGCTCTGCTTTGAAGGAAAGTATATAATCAGTAGCACTTATTTAAATCTGCAGTGCTAAATCTTCATAGCTCTCGTGTGTATAAAACAATGCCTTTCTCAGGAAGGCAGGGTACTTGATTCAGCATAGCCCTAAGGGAGTTATAAAAGTGCTCTTTTCCCCATATTTATGATTTTCTCATTTTCATGATTCATGATTTATTATTTTAGTCCCTTCCCTCAGAAACAAAAATTCAGAAACTTTTGAAGTCTCTTGTAGAACAACAGTAATCTCTTGTTTGCTACCAAACAGGAGGGACACATTGTGTAGCACACCTAGTGTGTTTGCTGTTGAAGTATGTAATTCCTGCTTCCCTTTGATTAAATTCTTACAGGGCTAAAGAAAATATTTAACAAAAATACCTTTGGCCAGATAAATTTTTCTCATTTTGAAACGTCATAAGCAGCTCGGAATTCAACCAAACTCTCTGAAATGGCTGCAGACTGAGCTTCTGGTACTGTATGTGGCTTCATAGTAAAGATCAGGGAAAGCACTGAAAATTTTAGTAAGGGAGGACCTCAGATAGCTCAGTAAATTGAAATTAACATCCTAGTGACACAGTCAGCCAAGCAAGGGAACTGACTCATCTGTAAAATAACCCTATCCCATTAGTTTTCAGCCTGACTGGGATGTGGGGGCACTTATGACTGCAGGAGGGGGTGACACACCGGTGGCAGTGCCCAGGGCTGGGGCGGAGCAGGGCAGTGTTACCCTCAGGAGCACAGTGGTGTGGCCCCATCCTGAGCTCACGTACCTGCATGTCCAACCTCATCCGGAGCACAAAAGGGAAAATGAGGCAAAGTTTTCAGAGCTCTGCCTTTGGCATCAGAGCCTGTTTGAGACCTTGGAGACAGCAGATCCCACCAGCACCCCAAAGCAGCTGCAGACACAGGGCTGAGAGCTTTGACACTGCACACATGACTTTTTCTACAAACACAGAACAAACCCAGGTAAAATTTTACCAGCTTTAATTTATCTTTTGGTGTGGTAATGAAAAAGATCATCATCAAAGAAGATAAGGACCATTAAAAACCCAATATTCTGCTACAGTGATTGGTTTATGGCCTCATTTGGCAGCAGTTTTATTTATCAGGTGTGCAGCTTCATCAAATGTCTTACAGCCCAAGCACTTCAGGAGTTTATTATCTGCAGGACACTGTGCTCCTGTTCCAGAATAGATGGTATCTGGAACAGGAATTGTTCTGGGGCAAACTTTACAGTAGACCTGTTTCTCCAATCTGTCAGCCGGTTTTGGCACTCCGTCTCCACAGATTTCTGTGAAGACAGTAGGAAAAAATGTAGGCTGGAGATCGCACCTTGCATTGCTGATAGCTTTTGCTGAAAAACTAGTGTTTTACAAAGCACAACCACATGAAAAATAGCTGTACATCAGTTTCTGCTATTGCCTGCCCTTAGTTAAACCTGACTCAAATTTTGTGGTACCACTTAGGTGATGGAACTTTCACTATCTCACACCTTTGAAGACAGGAAGAACAAAATGCTTGGAAATGCAGTAAGGCTTGGAAATTGCCCTGCTGTCTCTTCCACAACACGGCAAAAGCTGACACAGTTGAAAGCTGTAAACATATTCCAACTCACATTTATTCACGTTAACTGCTTTCACATTGACGTGGTGCAAGATACTGCTCATTTCAGATGGGGCCACAGACATGCCCCAGTAAACTCTTGATATCTTTAGACCATGAATTAATACTGTAATCAGGACATTAATAAATACTTGAAAAGTCTGTAAATGACCTACACTGGACTCCTTTGTAAAAGTATTTACCTTATTTAAATGGATTTATTTCTATGTCAAAATACATTACACCATGAAGTGACGGATGCAACTATTCTGACAAACTGTGTGCACCTGATATGGTCTTTATCACTGCTGCAAGTCTGCATAAGTTTGGGATTGAGCAGGAAGTGATGAAGATTCTGCAGAGCCAAAAAAGATTTGATCTTAAGATGCTCATTTTGCTCTCACTGAAAGCACAGCAGCAGTCCCAGGGAGATCCCGTGGGCTGGCGCTCAATGATCTGATGCTCTGGAGATGCCTCAGTCCAGGGTGAAATGCTGGATGCTTCAACCTCAGCCCAAGATGAAATGTTGATTGCTTCAAGCTCCTCTGAGGTCTCTGAGCACACCACACCTCCTTGCACGTGCGTGTGCACGCGTGTGTGCGCTGCTCACCATGCCCATGGAGCAAAGTCCAGCAGCCACGCTCAGCTATTATGTCCCTGACTGTGCCTTTTAGACACAGCCTTCGTGGCAGATGTGGTTGCCATTGATCAGGCTGAAGGTGGCCAGGGAGTGGTTGGTGCTCTTGAGGGAGGTCATTCGTGTGGTGCTCCTGGCCATGCTGTGGGAGCGGATGAGCAGCCGAGCTCTGCAGCACAGCAGCTGGTTGTTGAACTGCTTCCGAAAGCTCTTGCTGAGCAAGTAGAGAGCAAAGGGGTTGACACAAGAGTTAGTGAACGCCAGGATCCGAGCACAGATGCTGGCAATGAAATGGAGCACGGAGGTGTCCACCTCGGAGTAGTGGTAGGAGCGGTATAAGTAGATGATGTGAGTGGGCAGCCAGCAGAAGGCGAAGAGGCACACGAACACCAGCACGGTCCTGGCCAGGCGCTTGCGGGACTCAATCTGGACAAAGAAAGAGAAACACAGATTAGCTGCTGTTCCTAGCTCAGACCAGGGGCTGACTATTTGTGCCAGTGCTGCAGCTTTCCAACTAACATATGGCAGGTGGCACATCCAGAGCAGGGAAATCTGGACTGCAGGTGAACACAGTCAAGAGCTCTCCTTCTCTCTCCTCAACCCCTTTCCCTTATGAACAAATAATTCTGAGAATTTCTTACGTAAGAAGTAGTCTTTCTTTTCCTTTCTGTTTAGAAATAAAATTACCAGTGGCTTGTCACTTTGCAAAATCCCAGCTCTGGCAAGAAAAGTGTGGACAATCTGCATTAGTTATCCACACATAATATACACAATAATATGTAATTTTAATAAATTACCTTATTATTATTATTCCTATTATTATAATTAATTATCATGTAGGAGTCTGGGATATTTCACAGAGCTCACAGGCAGGACATTCTGCCATGGGGCCATGTGGTGTATGTACACAAAAGTGCTGTCAACAGCTCACAGCCCTTTAAGACCAAGTGCGGCACTCAGAGTCTGAAGCAGATAGGAGGATATTCTGTACTTGGAGGAACACCAAGGCAGCAGCAAGGTGGACCCTTCAGCTGAAAGCACTGGAGCCACCAGGAGAGAGCTACAGGTGGTGAATAGATGTCCACCTCTTGGCATAATCTGAGTTTTGTCAGGGAAAGGTGCTTTCACAAAGCCAGCTGGCACACAGTATAATCTTCATGCAGACCAGGCACACTTTTGTTTTACTTACTTCTACAGGCTTGTAGTCAACCCAAAGGTATTGCTCAGCTGAGGGAAGCTGAGGTAAACCATACCTTGTCTTTTGCCTAAAAGTGCTGTACATTAACATAGCAAAGCCGCTGAAAAACACATCTCTCTTCCTTATGAACACAAAAGCCATGAAGGAGGTTGCCCAAAATGAGAAGAAGGACAGAGCTGCCCAGAAAAACCTGCTAAAATGCATTGGTCCCTGAGAGAGGTAATGCAGCCAGAGTTTGCAGTCACTGCTGATCTTTTAGGGCTCAGTAATGTTCTCCTCTGTGGTAATCCCACTAACGGTCCCCAGACATTCCTAGGGAATTAGCTGCATCCCACTTCTTGTACTTTTAAGTAGGATGTGAATGGCCTGCAATTGCTCCCAGTCTCAGCCCTGCTGCCCTTGCTCCTGCCCCAGTGCAGTCACAGCACCTGGCCAGGCTCCCAGGACACTGCCCCATCCTCACTCTGCTTCCAAGCCCCACAGGTAAATCAGAAACTGAGCATTTTACACAGGCTGATCTATTCTCAGGACAGCTGCAAGCAGGAAGCAGGCAGAAGAGACATGACAAGCCCATTTGGACTTTATTTCATGCCCCTTTAATGGCACTGGCTAAAAATCAGCCACTGAGCTCAGGAAGGACTGACATGCACCAGATGATAACGTCTCCAGCGAGCAGGCTGAAAATTAAATCCTTTGAGAAAGGGCTCTCCTTGGCTAAACCATATATTCTTTTAAAATGTATTCTTAATTTGATATAGGGCTATTGAGGCCACATCTGCACTATAAAGAAAGGAAGCAATGCAATAAAGAAATCGATACCAGTTCTCTCAGATGGAGACGTATAGCGCTTGAATGCACTGCAGGACGGGAATGATGGACGGAGGGTGCTAGACCAGCCTGGCCTTTTGCTTTCTTTAGAGCTCTGTCCCCAAAACCAAAGGGGAAGGGGCTGCTTGTACTGCTCACTTTATTGCCACTAATCAAAACAGCCATCGAATCAGCAGAGAAATGGCCTGCAGGGGAAAAGATTTAGGCACATTCAGAAGGGAAAAAGGATAAGGATTTCAGGGATTGCACATCATTTGATGGGCAAAACCCAAGTCTTTCCAGCCTTACTGCTTCAGCGTAGCACCTGAAGGCTGTGTAAGATGATTTTGTTGGGTCAGTCTAAGGTGGAGGTGTCAGCTGGATGCAATTGAGTGGACAATTGCTCAGCTATGAATGGCTTGTGTCAGTTTAGCTGAGGTTGAAGCACGCCTCAGTTAAAAAGAAGAGGTAAGGCAAATAAGATAAATACATCAAGGTAAATAGGCTGTTTAGAAACAGGCAAGGCTTCATCCAAGGTTTTCTCTCTGACAAAGCAACTTTGTGAAGTCTTGACTTTATCCCATATCACCCCTTTGCTTCAATCTGCAAACACTGTATCTGCCCTGCCCCTTTCCCTGCATCCTGGTCAATACCTTCCCAGCCTTTGGCAAGGGTCTCCTGCTATGCTTGCCATGGTAACCACTCTGCCAAAGTCTCTGAACTTGCAAACAGGAGGAGATGCTTTCACTGTTTAGCCCTGTATTATGGCTTCTTTCATTCATTTAAATTCTTTTACTCCACCTAACCTATTAAAATCAGTATGACAGACACGGTCTGTTACAGTATAAATTTCCCTGTATTCCTTCTTTCCTCCCAGATTCATAGAGAATGTGGATTTTTGAAGAAAGTCAAATCTCTACCTGTTTCCTCACATGCACATTTCCTTCCACGGGGATGTTGTAAGCACTCCGGATCAAATTCTTAGCAATAAAATAATAATATACTGAAATTACAGATAGGGGAATAATATAAAATATGAGAAATGATGCCATTGAGTGGATTTTGGGATGCAGCCCATCTGAATGAGGGTAAGGAGCGCAGCTGATAAAGGTTTTATTAGTCCCTTTGTCATGGAAAGGGTGCAGATCTGAAAATACTGCTTCAGGGATGGCAAGCAACATGGATACAATCCAGATTATAGCAGCTCTCACACAAATCTTCATCAGTGCATGCGATGCTTGGATCTCCATTGGCCTTACTATAGCTTTATACCTAAAAAACAAACAGAAAAAGGATATAGTTTATTGACCTCAACATTCAAGCATAGTATTGCTGTTTTTCCCTTCCATTCAGAAATAAAAACACAAACAAAATCATTCTTTACTCAACACTGGATTTTTTTCTGGTGTTTTTAATTTCAATATTTTCAATAGATTTCTCAATTTAAACCAGAGCCACCTGTCATCAGTTCATTCAGTTTCATGTATTGATTATGAGTTAATTTAATTTGTAATTGACCCGACAAAGCACAGGGCTCCTTGATATTAACATGTTAATTAATATTAATGACATTAATATGTGTCCAAACAGCATTAAGACAGGAAGTGCAATCATAGACTTCTCTTCCAAAGTGTACAGCAGCCTACACCCCAGAACAGTGTTGAAGGAAACTGGGCTGAGATTTTGACATACTTTTCAAGCTGTGAGCATAGCAGTCTCCTGCAAATCTTATTTTTTCTCAAGCTACAAAAAGCATGCTTCATTGGTGTTTGGTGGTGTAGCGGGCAAGAGTTTTCTCTAACTCAATGCATTGAGGTAAAGTAGCCAGAAGTGCTGAGTCTCTTGCAGAAAATCACCATTATTGCTCACTATTCTAAATACATAGATACATTTTTTGACTTGAAATATTGTCTTTCATGACTTCAGCCTTTCAGAAAATTGTACCTTAGAATCCAAGAATATCAAAGAATTAAACTTGTTTGAAATTGGTGTGTGTAATGAGAAGAATGGAAAACATCAGAGCTTAATATATCCTGGAGCCCTGCTTCGGCAGGATTTGACATTCCAAGCAAGCCACAACTCACATATGCATTTAAGGAACATAGCAGAAGAAAAAAAAAAGGGTAATTAGGAAGGAGTATCTACAGGTTTCACAAATTAGCATGGAGGGTCGTTATTATAACAGTTACAAACTCTTGGATATTTCTTCCAGGATCTGCCTCACCCTGCCCATGGTGCACTTGGCTCCCCCTTGGTCACTTCTCCCTGGGGACCGGTGTGTGCCTGGGTCCTGGGCTGTCCCAGCCCTCTTTGGCATGGCAGGGTACATCACATCAGCTCCTCGAGTCCTTTTCTAAACTCCTTCCAGCATCCTGGCTCCTTCAGACAGCTGAAGTGGGCACTGGGGTGGGAGCAGAGGCAGTGAGAGTGCGGGCGGCACAGCAGGGCCGCCCCATGGGACAGCACAAACCAGGCTCCAGGGACACTCCATAAGCCCCCACCTGCTATAGCCTGCACCATCCTAAAGCTCAACATTTGGAAGAGGAGTCCATCAGTCCTGAAGTGTTTTCACTGCGTAACTGCTTTATTTGCAGGATAAGCATGCATTCAACTTCTGATTATGTGCAATATCCTGCTCAGCACACCCAGCTTTCCCTCCATGTAGGTATATATGTGTCTACATATCTTTGTGTATGATTTTAAATACATACACATATTTATATGCATGTACATTCATGTATACATAACTACATGCATAGTAACTTATTTTTATGAAGACTGCATCTAGACATTTTGTCATTTGTTGGTACTTCTTCATACAGGTGTCTTGCATAAAGGACTTTTACTTTCATGTACTACCAACACCTTGCTCAGTAGTTTGCTGTTTAAACACTTATTCTCCAAGCTCTGCAGCTCCCCTTTTTTCCAGCTGCAGTGGCCAGGCACAGTATTTTTAAGGCTTGCTTAGCACCTCTTTAACTTTCACTCTGCAAACTGTGGATTAAGCGGTGTCATACCGCAAAGCACAATCTTCCAGCGCCAGATCATAAACTCAGGCGAAGAACGTCACAGCTCTTAAACAAATATGATGCTCTGGATATTGCAGTCATAAAACAGAAGTGCTAGGCAGATTACTAAAGGAGTGGTGTTAAAATAGCTCCATTTATAGTGTCATTGACCAGATATAGATTATTGACAGAAACATGAGCTCACTGAAAGTCTTCAGTAAATCTTAAAGAAGAGAAATGCAAAAGGAACTTAATACCGTATCAAGGTATTAGCAAATTTAGTTGATTCAAAGGTCTTTCTGCACAGGTTTGCTGTATGCTTATCAACATGACGTTAGCATGATTATTTCAGGGATTGTCTTAAAAAATATAGACAGCTGAGAGAATACTTTCTAGTATTATGTTCCAGGAACATGGATAAGTTAAAGAATATAGAGAAACTGTTTAATTTTTATTAATATTAACAGAGTTGGGGGAGCCAGAAATTACTCCATTTCAAGTTATTGGTATATTTTAATCAGAGATGGCATATACAAACAATTTAATTTAGACAGAACATAATTAAAAATGTCTAGGACCACTGGCACTGACTACTAGGTATTTAGTGTATTTTTAAACACTCCTACAGCAGATGTAATAGAAGATATGAGAGACCTTGGGCTTGCAAGGGGTTCACTCCCATAGGATGGGAGTGAAAGAACACGAAGATAAAACAGAGGAAACAAAGCTAGAAAACAGATTTTGAAAATATAAGTTCTCAGGTGCAGAACCACAGGTAGGTATTTTCTTAATAGCCTGACAATCAAATAAAATTATTTTGCTGACTATCTGCATGACTTCCTTGATGGTGGGTAAATTTAAGCAGAGATCTCTAGTAATCTCTGTTAGTCTCCAAGTACTGATGTGTGACTGATCAGTACTGATCTGGCAGGAATCCCCATTTCCTGTTGCCTTGCTGATGTGCCAGTGTGTCTCTCCAGTTTGTGTTCCAGCACTCTGCATGCCAGCTCAGGCTCTGGACAGCAGCTGCAGGGGCTGCTGCTGGTGAGGGCACAGGGGATGCTACACATGAGAAATTGGCCCCCCAGGCTGGTGCTTGGGCTGGGACACCACTAGATTTTCCTGTTGCTGGTGTTCGGGGTGTGAAAAAGCTGCACCTCCTGGCTGGCTTCTGAGTGGGGCTCAGCAATGCCTTCACTCCTTTACTTTTCCATACCACATTCCTGGCAGGGTCAAGCCTGGGGTTTATAATTTATTTGACATTTCTTCAGAACTTCATCCAGGTAGTCTGGATTTGAGTAGCAGCTCATTCTGTTTTTCAGCATGTGTATTTCCAGTGTGTATGTCAAATAATATTTCAAGTTTCCACAGCTTTGTCCTCTGCAATTTGTTTTTCAATGAGTTAGCCTGAGGCATGCAACTTTCCCATATTTAACATCCAGCATGTGAATATTTCAATCCACTTTGAAGGAGACATTGATTAATATACCTATACACCTTAGAGGAGCCATGGATCTCATGGAACTGGGTTTTCATGCATGATTTTTAGCCCAGGTTGTATTTCACGTTTCCACAGCTTTGTCCTCTGCAATTTGTTTTTCAATGAGTTAGCCTGAGGCATGCAACTTTCCCATATTTAACATCCAGCATGTGAATATTTCAATCCACTTTGAAGGAGACATTGATTAATATACCTATACACCTTAGAGGAGCCATGGATCTCATGGAACTGGGTTTTCATGCATGATTTTTAGCCCAGGTTGTAACATGGCCTCTGAGAATGTGTGTCACATTGCATGCTCAACTGTATGGAGTAGAGCTAGACATGGCCCTGGACTGATCACCTCTGCTGCTTGCACATTCAGTCTCTAATTATTGAATTATTGCTTGAGATATATATATATTCTTTTCAGCTAAACTCCCTTCCCTATTGGTTTTTGAATAAATTTTTGAAAAAGTTTAAAAACCAGAGGTACAATTCATGCACTGCAACAAAGCCCAAAACTTCAAAACATGCCTTGCGAAGATTCAGTTGTGTAAAAAAACACACAGTCAAGAACTCAGACCAAACAGCCCAGATGAAAATGACTGAGTTGCTGATCTGATTGGAAATATGAAAGAGATGCTGCCCTTTACTACCGCTCAGTCTTTGAATTTCTCTGTTCCCACTGGTGAAGCAGCCAGGTACACTGCAGCTGCCAACGACCTCCCAGCCAGGATGGATGCCAGTCAGCTCCCTGTCTCCCAGTCTCACTCAAAGAAATTACTCATGGGGCTATCCTAAGTGTGCTTAATTTAATTGCAATTCATGAGGCACTGTGAGGATTCCCCTGCTAAGGAAATCCTCCCCACACCAGGCACAGTGACTCTGGTGCTGTCCCTGTTCTCCAGGGCAGTATTCAAACCTCCAAAAGAAAGCTGGTGATTGTTTCTTCAACCCAGAACACCTGATCACTTTTTAACCTAATCCCAAAAATTCATGGTGGATTGGTAGGGGTCCACAGAAGCCTTGAAAATATCTTTTACACATTCCTTAGGATCTCTATCGTGCTGATTGAGTAATTGTTTCTCACAAGTGAAACTACTGAAAATGACCATAAACCACTAAAATGTGGCACACCCAAGGTCCTTCTGTGGTAAATACTTTTCCCACCGAGGTTACTATGCCAGGGAAACAGGAAAACTGTGTCATTGTCCCTGTGTTAATAATAATGTAACTAATGATAGCATCACCTAATGTACTCTAAAGCTTGGAGTATGCAAACATTGGTTAATACCATGCACTTAGCCCCAAAGCTGCAGCTTCAAATATAAACACAGAAGTAGCTGCAGCATGAAAAAGACACTTACAGATACACTGTCCAAAGATACCAACCAAAATATGGCCCCAAATGGATATCACTGTTTCCTAGGTGTAGTTTCTCTGTTGGTACAAAAATATTTTATCCATCTTTGTGCTCCTCAGCTGAGCCAAGAAAATACACGTCACCTGAAGCATAAACAGGCTTTGCCTTCAAAGCCATACTGCCTATACATTTCTAAGCATAGAAGGGCTGCAGTTTTGCTCTCTGGGGAAGAAAGAACCTTATCCACAAAGACTGCAGCCTCTGTGCTTCCTTCATGGCTTTTTCCTGTCACCTCCATCCACTTACTTATGCCTGCTACAACAGCCACAAAAATTAAATGAAAATAACTAAAGCATGGGGAGGAAAATCAGATGTTTCCCTGGGATTTTAAATTAATTTAGCTACATATGGCTAAGTA